ACGAAAATTTGAAAAACGATAAAGAAATTAATATTGAGAATCATTTTGCAATGCAACGTTATCATCATCTTTCGGCTTTCGATTTAATATCAATGCCGCCACTAATAGACGAAGAAAACAAATGTCGAAAGCAAATGACAAATGAATATTATCCGAAAGGCACAGATGAACTGAAGAAAGGCTTTGCTGTGAAATATAGCCGAGGAACTGGTCCGCCATGGAAGAGATCTAGGCGCCGTCAAGAAAAAAAAAAAAGGAAGACTAATTTGAACACTGTCCCTTTTCTTCCTATTTAAATGTGGTGTAAAAATATTTGTTTAAAACTTTAAAATTTTCGGCCTGAAAAATTTGGAAACTTATGAGAGAAGTTACCTTTTCTCTTTAAGCAATTGAGCAAGCCGAGAGTTATATAGACTTTCGAATTTTACAGAACTTTTCCCTTCGGCAAAAGTCTCTGCTGTTGAGGGAAGAGGTTGTAACAACTTTAAATAATATTAAAATCTTGTAGTTTGAAATAAATAATTTAAATAAGATGAACATTAAGGTATTTGTGAATGGCAATATTTTGAAACCAGGACTCGAGTGCCACGTGCGACTCTTCGCACGAAGAATGTAATTTTATTTTTAAAATGTTAGTATTCGTTTTTTCTTCTTGTTTTGTATGTCGCGTTTTTTGAGTGTTAAATAAAAGTTATTGCTGTGTTCCATCATTGGAGTTGCTTCATATCGCCAAAGAAGTATTACACCCCATACCATCACACTGCCAGCTCCATGTTTGACAGTTGGATTTAAATTTCTCAGATTCAGTTCTGTTCCTGGTTTTCGCCATACAATAGGGTGGCTATTAACTTTAAATATTGTAAATTTACTTTCATCTGACCAAGTTACATTGTTCCAGAAGTCCTGTGAAGAGTTTAAATATGTTTTGGCAAAAGGAATTCTTTTCTTTCTATTTGTCTCGGAAATGTATGGCTTAGACCTAGGTTTGCGTCCATGATAATCGGCCTTTCGCGCAGCACTTTTCGTACAGTTTCAGGAGAAATAGAGAGAACTTTCCTTGTTGCTAGTTAAAAAAATGTCTTTTGCAATGCTTGCAGCAGAAAGTTTAGGATTTTGTTTAATTCGTAAAAGAATTTTTCTTTATTCTCTCTGCATTAGCTTCTTCGGTCTTCCACATCTTGGTTTTACAGCAAGACTACCAATGTCAAGATAGTTTTGAATAACTCTTTGCACACTAGAAAATGGTTTTCCAATGGTTTTACCAATATAACGAAGAGTTTTACTTTCATCTCTCAATTTGATAATTAGTTGTCTCGTAACTAAAGGAATTTCTTTATTGGTTGTCATTTTCGTCAAAGAAAATAGAAATAACAACTTCCAATGAATGTGAAATTTGCTTCAAAAGTCAATGACCTTGAAAGTGTAACCTTCTTTGCATTCTCAAGTTTAAAAGTTAGATAAGAAATCCCCCACCTCTTTCGCGTTGTACGCAAACTTTATTGGCTCTGATTTCTGGCCACTTATCTTTTAAAAATTAGTGTGCATAAATTATTAGATATGAAAATATTACAGTTAAATAATTTTAAAGTCCCTTATTGGAACTAAATATTAAAAAAATAAAACTTTAAGGAACTACCCTTTTCGCACCTTAAAATTTGGATTTGATATTACTTTTCTTGATGTACACAGACTTTATTGACTAACTGTATATAGGTTGTTATTTAATAAAAGAGTTTTCAAATTAGATGCTTTCTAATTGTACATATCCTCACAAAAAGTTGCCATCTCTAGCGACTTTGTGTATTGGCAAAAAGCATTTGTTTGGCCATCTTACTGCTCATAGCATCATTGTGTTCATAAATAATAATAAAAAGAAGCATTCTATTAGAAACAATAAATTTTATAAGGGAGGGATTCTCATATGGTCAATGTTTACATTGTTACAACCAGTAGATAACCATTTTGGTGAAATGACTGTAAAGGAAGTACATGTACTCGAACACCACTGTAATATGCACATGCATGAGTTGACTATTTATATGTGTATATTCGAAAATATTTTAAAAACACGGTAATTCTTCTGCATGTTGAAATCAGAAGTGTGGATAATTAGAAAGCACCAAAAATTATTTTTATCAATGAAGATATTTTTTTATGTCTAATTAACTTTGGCAGATTGGCATAACTGTGGTTGGTAAAGCAGTTTCACCAACAATGCATTATGATGCAAACTCACCTTACAGTAACTCATCATTAAAGTCAATGAACATAAGCCAATACAAATAATTGAAGTTCTGTGAATGGGCAACTTCTTTTAAAAGTTCTTATTTGTTTATGCTTTTTATGGTGCACTGCCATCTATTAATAAAACTCTGATATTTAAAGTATGATATTTAAATAAAAAAAGTATGAATGTATGACATGAACATGAATGCAAACTAGATCCTCATCAATTTCTTACAGGGTTGCCACGCTACCTGGAAAACCGGGAGAACCGGGAAAAGTCAGGGAATTCGAAAATTGACCAAAATATTCAGGGAAAAGTCAGGGAATTTAAGTATTTTTGTCAAAATCTGGAAAAGTCAGGGAAGTTCATACAACGATCCCGCCAAAAAAAAGCGATTTTTGCGCCGACGTCGGAAGAGGTAACTTTTTGGCGAATTATGTATCACGTGAGTGTCATTCGGGTAGCTGGCATAGAGCCAATTTTCGCAGCTCCAATTTGATTGTCTTTTAGAAAGGGCAAAGCAACTTTCCCGCAACTTTTGGTTTCCAATATTCTCGAGAATCGCATGTGCAGCGCATGAACTAAAGAAAGTACCTGTTCTCGTATAAAACAAAATGGGTTTAATCCTAGTATACGGTACTATGGAGGTTAGAATCAAAGAATATGTATTGTAAAGAAGGAAAACCTCTCTGCAACAGACTTGGCTGTGGCTCCGTTCCATCATAGAGGGAAACAGCTGTGCATGTCTGATATATCTGTCACCAAAGCTCGAAACCGGTGTCGAAGTTCGAAGGTCACGTTATCAAGAGTTCATAAAATGAATATCGTTTAAAATTTCTTTAACCACTTGCGCTAAAAAGATGTGCCACGCACGTCAAGATGCTTTTGTCTCAAACCGCGAGCGACGTGAACACCACGTCGATAAGCATTTATCGCAAAAATGAAAATAACGTGGTGCACACGTCGCCTAACGAGATTGTTTATTTCTCGAGTTACAGCTCTGTATTGCACTCGCAGATGCGGAGCGGCGTAAATGAGACACTTTACCGCTTGTTATATTGTAGCGCACGGCACCGCAACCGTGAAGTTTAGTCTTAGCGCAAGTGGTTAAACTCTAAAGGAAAATAAAATATTTTTTGGCGCAAGTAAATTAATTCATGGATTAGTTATTTTCAGAGAAAAAAAAAAAAAAAACTACGAAAATCCGTTTTTAAAATTATTGCGAAAAATCCAAGAAGAAACGTCCTTTGATAAAAACGTTTCTTCTTGGATTTTTCGCAATAATTTAAAAACGGATTTTCGTAGTTTTTCTTTTTGTCAAAGAGCGTTTCTTCTTAACACGTGCTTCTCAATTTCCTGTACACATCGCGGAGAGGGAAATTCTGACCGCCAGGTTCCGTCGCCAAATCCCTTGGCAAATTTTCCCTCCGCATTCTAGCGGCCGTAATAGCATTTTACTTGTATGGAACCTTTTCTTCTTTACATAGACGTTCTTTGGTTAGAATAATAATGGGATTTGGCGACATCTTGAGCGATGCGCAGTAAACGGGTCATTTTGGTCTTGGCGACAATTTTCAAAATCGTGCCAAAGCCTTACCGTATACTAGAATTTTACCGCAAAATCTTTTTAAAACCCTTTTTTTTTTCCTTTTTAATAAAATACCTTGCCATTTTGCAGTAAAATAAAAAAATAGTAATCAGTCATCTAGGCTAGCCATGTAATATAACTATATTCGCTAAAATATAGATGATTATTCTAATTCAATTTTTAAGTAATTATTTTTATGTTATTCATATAATTTAATGTTGCTTCTTCCCTCTAAATTTATTTATTATTAGTAATAATATTTCCAAATTTCAGGAAATTTTCTCTGGCATAATCCTGAAATTAATTATAGCAGTATGATGACATACCATCACGAAATTTAATGCACATATTTTTTCCTTATGTATGCTGCAAAATAAATATAAAATACCTCAATTTATTAAAATAGATTTCTTTCTTTTGTTTAGCTGCAGAATGTCTGCAAAAAAAGCCTTATTTTATTCCAGATTGGGAAGATTCTAATCTCAGTCTTCAGTGGAGAAAACAACAACTATTATAATTATATTTGTGTTTTCAAGTGTTGAGGTTTTAAGAGCATACCTCACGTAAATTAAATTTACCTAAAATCTAACCTAACTATTTAGCATTGCGTTGTGATTTATAAGGACCGGATTAGCCCCGTGTTGAACTGGTGATGATCATGAGAATAATTAAATAAAAAAATACATTTGTTATCCAATATATATATCTTAAATTTTATTAAGTTTCTTAAGTGGAAAACTAAACAAACAAAATTATCAAACAAAGTATACCAAGAATAATTAAGAATAAATGTCCTCTGGGATTTATTGAATAATTAAGTGAATTTGCTACACAATACAAGTAATACCATAATTAATTTACCTCTTAGCACAGCCAACGTACATTACGCGGATAGACTGGAATTTTATTGAAACACACCTGGAAAACCTGGAAAAGTCAGGGAATTTCATTCTCCTGTTTGAGTGGCAACCCTGTTCTTATGAATTATAAAAACTTTAATGATGACTTTTAATTTATGTTTTTTATTAAATTTCAAAATAGTTTTTTCTTTGGTAATGAATTAACATTCAGTGATTAATTTTGTGCAGAAAAACATATATGAAATTCAGTTCGGTAAGAATTATGCATTTGATGTGATATATATTTATGTAAAATTTCCTGAAATACAATTTTTTCTTTTTGTAGTAAATGAAAAAAGCCAAAGTCAAAGTATGACAGAACAACTAATGAAGCAGCTTGAAAAAGAACGAGAGCGATCTCGCATGTTATCCGAAAAACTGCACGAGAAAGAAAGTAGCAGCTCTCTTAGCAGTAAATCTCCTAGGTTACTGGCAAGATTTTATTTCAGAAAGTGCATGATGTTTCTCTATTTTATGAAACTATATATATGTATATATAAAATGAGAGGTCTGGAGTCATGAAATAAATACCTTATAATGAGATCACTCCTGCTTTGAGCCATTTGGTAGTGAGTTAAACATTAAGATACAAAGTCGCTGAGTTGCTAGTACTGTTCTTCAGGAATGGCTGCCTATTGACTTTTGTAGTATGTTTTATAATAATATTGCATTGGATATGGCTGAAGTTATAGAATAATAAACTTCTTTATTTTGTTAATTTGATGTGTATCATGCCTGCCAAATTGGGGCCATAGGAACAAAATCATAGTGGTAAAGTTTATGGAATATGATCTGTCTATATGATCCAGAGATTCTGATAAGTTATTAAAACAAACTGAAATACTCATCTCATCATCAGTGTTTGCAAGAGTCATGAAGGCATGCCATTAATTATAAGAATGTCTTAGTTGTGTGTTTGTTGCATATGTGTCAGGAAAACCGTGCATCTACATGAGCATGACTCATAACATTCTTGAGTTGTTTTCAATATTAAAAGTGCCTTTTAGATGTCAAGAGTCTGTGGCTTCATAGAGAGTTTTGATGCAGTGCACAAATAGAATCAATTCATGAGATCATGCTTTTAACTTTACTGTTTTAACATAAGTCCGATGATTTTATACCCTTTTCACTTACTTAAGTGAGTGGCAGTAGAAACAGTATAGCACATGTCATTCTTCTAATGTCAAATCTGCTGATGGTGGGTAGTTCGTTCAGAAGAGTTTAGATTGAGCTGGCGTTGAAATTTGCATTGATTTAATGCAATTTAACTGTTTTATTATTTGTTACAATTCATGATAGCTTACAAGAATACCCACAACAGGATTGTTTGTAATTTTTTGCTGGCTGAGTTCTCAGGAATGTGGCATTCATTATAAACTTTTCACTTTGTATTACGTGAGTCATGCTTTTGGCATCAAGTCTGAAAAATGCTGGACATCAGATGCTTATAGTAAAGCAGATATACTTAATAAAAACTACTCTGAAAAAAAGGTTGGGTGTATGGGCTATTGTAATTCTATCCTACAGCTGGTATCCAACATATTAGTTATGTAGTACTATTCATTTCTTCTACAGTAACTGCTATTTTCATGACTTCTAGCTTCTTCGTATTCATTTTTATTTATAGTACTATGAAGAAATTATTATAAATCTAAAAATCTCAATAGGTTTGGAATAAATTTAAAAGAAATTTTGGTATGTTTTTGTTATAGTGGCCCCCAAAATCGAATTGCCAATCAATGGAGAAATCTCACCAAAATTTGTCTGCATGCTCTTATGCCTCATCATGTAATCATATATTAGCACTGGCTGCATGTTCTTACACCTCTCCACATAATCGTATGTTAACACTGTGTTGCATTTTTGTTTTCTCTGTGTGTTCTTATGTCATTCATTTTTGATGAGGATTTCAAATTCGCATTGTTTATTTAAAAATATTTGTGTGTGTGTGAGAGAGAATGTGATGTTAACAATCTTTAATTTCCCAAGTAATGAGGTGGATGTCATATCATTTTTTCAAGAAAGTTGTTATTTACCTGACAGAGAGAGTATGCAAAAATGGCCACAACATGAAGTTTTATGTTACCAACAAAATCATTTGGAGGTGCAGTGGTAAAAACTGAAAAATGAAGTAGGGCCTGTGTGTTGGAAGTTGTTTCGGTGGTTCCAAAATATAGTTCGTCACTGCTAATAGATTTATATATTCTTGGGTAGAGGAGTTGACATTCATGAAATGATGTAACAAACAGCTTAATATGTAAGAAAGTGCTGCAGAAGTGTTGCAGTTTGTCAAAATTATAGCTGAGATCTTGGCACAAGTTTAAAATCGCCGAATATAGTTGGGGGTAACTATAACAAAGATGTACTGAAATTTTTAACTGGAATGATGAATCTCATAAAGAATGAAGTAACAATTATTTTAACTGTCTCGAGTTCATATATTTAAGTATTATAATTGTATTGTTCTGTTAATATTATTAATGATTTAAATAGCTGATCTTTTTCTTTCTGAATACTCTGTTTTAAATTTTACTTTCGTCTACTTCATTCTGAAGCTCAGAACTGAAATTAAAGATGAAAGTTAAGAATGGTAAGTTCTGATTCAACTAACATGTAACTTCACTCAGCAATCTATTTTAAATGTTTGGTTAGATTACCTCTGGCAACTTTAGTTCTTTTTGTGTGGAATGATGTTTTTGCTGGACAGAAATATGTTTTCATCCAAAAGAGTACACAGTTGCATGAGGGGATGAGCTCAGCTGCAGTGAATTACTTAGGAATAAATATTCATTGGTGAAAGCATGATTATCATAATGGGCTAGTACAGAAAAGCAGAAAAGCTGCTTAATGTGTGTGTGTGTATGAGGAGATGAGCTCTGCTGCAGTGAATTGCTTAGGAGTAAATAATCATTACTAAAAGTATGATTATCATAATGTGATTTAGTTTATGGCTATTTTATGACATTGATCAAATGGTGGCATTAAACGATGAGAAAGAAAAGTCTTCAAAATTTCAATGGAATATAATTAATTTAATACAAATGTACTAGAAATATATAAATTTAATGCAAATATTTACTTTCTCCAAATTTTAATGGAGAAAAATGTCATTAATAGTAGCTTGTCTGTAGTGGTTACACAAAAGTTCATTTATGAACTATTCATATTCAAACTGTTTCTGGAAATAATTTAGCCAATGCTGTGTCCTTAATCATCATATAAACCCATTAACCGCCAAAACTACAAGGAATGTTTCTTTTCTCATGAAAATAATAACGTATATTAAATTAAGCATTTATAACATAAATTTACCCTGAAAATAAAAAAAATGTTCTTACCTGTGGAAAACGCGAGTGTTGCGTTCACGCAACGTCAACGGAATAAGACTACGGATGTTTAGTGAGTAGGATTGTACTCGTGTGATGTTTCTTTTGAGTGGAGTGCAGGATTATTTTTTTAGCTGTATAACGTTTTATAAATCTACAAATCACTTATAATTATTTTAATATTAAAATATACATTGTATTTCTTTTACAAATACAGATTATTTCAGTTGAAAGATTCAAGCATGAAAAGCTTGATTACAATCATGATGTAAAGCTACATTGCATACTTTGCATCTATAAATAGTCTGGCTATGGTACTCTTTACAACCAAGTCTTTTGTTATCAACGGACTTTACGATAAAATGTCTACCATCTCCATGCAATGGTTTTTGAATGCTGAATTTACTAGATCTTCCTGTTGCTGATCTATTTCTGGTTGATTCTACACTCTCAATAGGAGTTTGCAAAAGGAATAATGCATTCTCGCATCTGAAATCTAAAAGAGACTATATTTCCAGTAGTAAAAAGTGGTGATATTTATTTAGATACGGGCTCACCTCATATAATTTATCAGTATTGTCAATTTGAATATTGTCAAATGCAAATTCTGCTTGATATTCCTGTACTGCAAATGTGATATCTATTCTCGTACAACAGGAACAGAAATGTCGTTATCAAAAGACCAATAATTTTTTTTTGAGGGTAAGAATGTATCCTGTAAGAATAATATTCCAATAAATCTTCTCATATAGCTCCAGATGCAATAAATTTGGGACTTTTTTTTTCGCTGAGCGTATATATTTGTCTCTCAACAAAAGAGAGTAAATGTCTAAACCAAAACGAAAATCGAAAATCTGTGTACTAGTTTACCTTGTATTTGTCTTTATAATTTCTCTTCTATCTCTTTCTCATGTTTCTGAGACCATAACTACAGTTCCTTTTATCCACTTCAAGATTTCGGTCTTCTGTTTAAAACTTTTAGTATGACATAACTGCTTTTAGACGCTGAATCTTACTTCTTATGTGGATTTCAACTTCCCCAGCCATATATTGGTAAATATCATTATATATAAAAACATTGCCATTCCTTTCTTCTTCGTCACTAGATTCTACAATTTCTGGGGGAACAACAACAATATCAGTTCATTTGATCATTATTAACTATCATCATCTGTTTCTTCATAAAAAATCTTGAAGGGCTTCTTCTAATGTAAGATACCTCGTTCTAGGCATTTTTGAACAACCAGAGCATGAACTAAAACATCGAAAGGAATGAGTGAAAAAGGAGATTGACTACTCATTTCCCGCAGCGCAACACCTGTTTTTTTCTTCCTTCCCAACACAAATATAAACATCTGACTGATGTAATGTTCTGGTAAAGGATGACCTTGACTAAAAATAGATCACTCATTAAGACGGTGATTCTTTCGTTAAATATTTTCAGAAAAAAATACCCGGTCGATTTTGCTTAAATTTTGCTTAAAGTATGAGATTAATTAATATACACAAAATGATTGTTGAAGGCAAATATTTTTACAGAAATAATCTTCATAATATTCCCTACACAAAATCATCTGCTGGTATAAAATATCTTAGGTAGTTATATTTATATATGCATTTATTTTGACCATTGCGTCAACGCAACACTAGCGGCTAATGGATTAATAGGGCATCCATCATCAGCATGGGTAAAAAATTTCATTTTTTTATTCTTTAGAAAATTTTATCTCATCATGTGGAGTTATTTCAGACAATATTTCTTTCATAAATATGGCAACATGAATTTTTCTTCTAATAACCTAAGGTATAAGAAAAAAAAACAAATTTTATGTACCTGTAAAAGAAAATCTAAATTTCACATGAGTAATTTTTTAAGGTATTGCGCTGTATAACTATAGATTTAAAAGTGTAAATTATTGTGTAAAAAATAAATTCCAATGTTTTGAATCGTAAAAAAGAAAAACTAATTTTTCATAAAAATTGTGATCTCAGTCATCAAGCTAGGGAAGGAAATATGGAAGTTTCCTTAAGTACTGAAGATTATATTTTGCAGTAAAATACACAAAATGTTTTCTGTTCTAAAAATTAGCTACTTATTACAGTTAAATATTATTAAAAAAAAAAAAAAAAAACTGAAATGAAATTTCCGACACATAACAAATACAAAGCATAATTGAGTTAATAATGTTTCTTTGGACATATGTTTATATCATGTATGTATCATGTATATATGTGTATAAGCTAAAAATAATATAAACCAAAATTATAATTTAAACTAGCGGTAATCCCTTGATTCCCCCACTCTATTCTAAAAATCATAATAATA